AAAATAAACAATATGTGAACAAAATTAATTGATAAAAAACACAACATGCATTCAACACTCAACACTCGGGCGGGGTGAAATTCAAAACCTATCCCCAGGCCTGTTGGGATAGCCAGGTCTTGAGGGCTGTGCGGAAGGTCTGGACGGTGGTGAGGGTGCGTATCTCGACGGGGAGATCATTCCACAGGGTCGGAGCTGCAACAGAAAAGGCTCTCCTCCGTGTAGTTCATATAATTATACACTAAAATACAATTGTGGAGTTTTTGGTGCTCTCTAAATTTGGTTGGTTGTTTGCTTGCAGATGTTTTGTTAGCAAAATAAGAAGCATATTTAGTGTTGTACAGCATGCTGCATCTTGCAGGAAAATCTTGAAGGAAACAACCAAGCTGAGAGAGCACCAAGGACTCTACCATTCAACCTTGAGCTACATATATTCTCTTCTATTCGTAAAGAAGTAAGGCAAGAAGAGGAAAGAACCTACCTTGTGCCATATTCAAATGCAATCAAAGATTATTCCTTTTTCCTCTATGATAACTTGGTGACAAGGTCAAAAGTCTCATAATTTTTTTAGAGGAGGCGGTTTAGTGCATCAACTAAGCACAAATATTATAGAAAAAGGTCTTTATTCAAAATGCCTTTTCATAAAACATAATGGGAAGGAGAGTTATTGGGAACCTTTTCACATCTTCTTTTTTTTCATTTTTTCCTAGTACAAAGGAAAGGAAATGGAACCAATGCACAATACTATTTCATTAGTCCATGCAAATAGTTTTAATTTTTATCTCACTGTCTACATTTGTGTCAAGAATTATTAAAAAATTGTGTGTGTGTGTGTGTGTATACTTAGTAATATGTTCCTTTTCAAATAATTAATGTATTAAGTAATTTTGACTTTAAAGGTTATGCTAATACATGTTTTTCTCACTTAGTTTTCCCATTTTTGAAAATCCTTATCCCATGGATATTCACGATTCACCTGTTACCTGCACAGAATATTTTGCTGATTGCCCTCCAGATTTGATTCCTGTGCTATATTCTATAGGTGCAAAACATAAAAAGCAAGGATATAGCAATAAGGTAAAGAATAAAAAAGGGAAAGTGGTATTGAAGCAGCACTAATTACTGGTGTTCATGGTTATGTTTTATTGTTCTTTGCCTATAGTATAGATATTTTGGTAGGGGTACTGTGTATAACAGACTCTCATGTTGGGCCTGTCCTGTTCTCTTGTTCAGTTCCTACCCTCTTTCTCCCTCTCCCTCTGTCCCCATCCCTTGTTTCTGAGAAGCCCTTGCTCTTTCTCTAAGAGACAAGAACAGAAATAGAGATGGCGAGTAGCGGTGTCACTTCCAACTTCTTGTTACTCTTGTTACAAGAGAATCGGGTTGTTATTAATCGGCCTAATTTTTGAATCCACAACAGTTAAAAAATGTCAAATGTATCCAAAATCCCAAATTTGCCTACCTTTGTCATATTTTATGTAGAAACAAATTATTGTTGATACTCAGCTACTATAAACAGAAGGCAAGGATTTCTAATTCAGGGATTGAATTTGATTCAAATGGGAAACAAGCAGCTGTAAATCATATAAAAATGAATCTGGCTGTTTTCTAAAACACTGATTCAGAGTCACACTGAATCTGTTGGTTGGAATACATCTCTTCATGTAGTTAAGGGTGCCTGAGTTCTGAGTTCTATCTGATATACACACACAGACACACATACATACATACATACATACATACATACATACATACATACAATCACACAGATGGAATTCCAGGTTTCTTAATATTGGATCAGATTCCGTAAGCTCTATTTTACTCTATTTTATTCATACACCAAAAGAGGGTGAGGGAATCACCATGGTTAAATATAATATAAAACATAGCCTAGTAATTAGCTATTAAGTGTTTTTGTTAAGCTTTTGTGTATATAAATAGAAAAGATAATTTGTGAATATTACATTGTCATTGAACCTACTAATGCAGTCATAGATGATAGATCGATCGATCGATAGATAGATAGATAAATAAATAAATAAAAAAAATTTTTTTTAGGAGTGGCCTATCACTGGTGGAGTATGGAACCTAGGATCACAAACATATCCTGAGATTATTATTACAGGGTAAGGAAAGTGCTTTTATAAGATACTGACTGTTGCAAATAGTTGTAGGTTTGTTGCTTGTTGCTTAAAATTTTACTCCATCTTTCTTTATTGTGTGTCCTTAAGGTGAATAACACCAAATATAAAAGTAAAAGTAAAAAACTAAAAAAATACTCCAAATCAAAAGGCATGACTGAAAAGTCCAGTTAATAAACAAACTAATATCTAGACAGCCAATTTCCAATTTGCCTTTGAAATATAAGTGATTTTCCAACAGAGAATTGAGTGATTTAGCTATTAATAAGATGATTGTTCCCTTAATCCTCTGTAAGGAAAAGCTGAGAGTGAAACTAGAAATTGATTCAAGAAAATACAAGTCCATGTGAGATAAGCTCAGAATTCTTCAAACACCTAGAGCTATGGTAGCAATGGAAAAAATGTCTGCTGGTATTATATTTATATTATATTTCTCCTTAGGATAAAATTTATTTTACAACACAATGCTCCTCATGGAAAGATTAGATTAGATTTGCCTATTTGAAATTAAGTTTTAATTCTGAAAAAGAGGGAGGTAGCTTTGAAAGGCTCTTTCTGGTTAATTCTGTTTTTATTAATAGAAGGGAAAAATCTGCTTGTGGAGGTACTCATTTCTATGCAGGGTTGTTGTTGTGGGGAAAAAAAGAAAGATGCTTTCTATATACTATATACTTCGTTATAAAGTAACAAAGGCAGGATAAAAATCTAATAATAAATAAATATTGGCTTTTGGTAGGTTACAGCAAAAATCATTTGCAAAGACATGCATGCAATCAATGTTTGAAAAAGCCACTTGAGGACAGAATGCATTAAAGTAGCTGGAGTTTTCTTCATCCACCCACAACCTGGCTGTTCTTTATCAGACTTCTATTTAATTTTAGTTAGTGTAAGAAATCTCTCTTCCACAGTACATTTCAGATGAGTTATGCAGCCACTTCTAGTGTCTCTCATCCATCTTATGAGAAACTACAGAGAAGATAAATGAACCGCATACACATTAATTAAGTTCTGATACTCTTCATTCCTTAACAAAACTAGGACTTCTTTCATGATTCTGACAGGCAGTCAAAGAAGAAAACCGCTGCTGAGAAGTTCAAGTGTCCCCAGTGACTATAGATGGCAATTGAGATTTGTCACCTGTGCTCTTATATCACAGGAATTGAAACCTAGTTCAGTCTTGATAGAAGTATATGGTGATTATAATGTTATTATGCCTTGTTTTAATTGGCCTTTACTATATTCTTTTAAGTCATGCAGATGGATCAGTAAAATTTTGGGATGCTTCTGCCAGTAAGTTTTTAAATTTATTTCTGCATTATAAATCCATGTTGCATATTTGAAAAGGAGTGAATTGATTGCAGTTATTGAATCTGTTACTCAAAATATCTGAAATTGGTACAGTCACAGTGTAATGAATTTCTGGCAAATTTTAAAATATTGTTTGAAAGAGAAAAATCGCAACAGAGTGTGAATGAGTAGGAATGAGTAAGGGTCCAAATGGTATGCCTGCAAAGACACAAGAAATCTTAACACTGGTTAGATTTCTAGTATGGTTTGGTCCTCGTGTGATCTTTTTTTCTGATTCTGCAATTGATCATTAAGATGCTTCCACTTCTGTTTAATTGTGTATTCAAATGATTAATGAACAATTGAAATGATTGAAAGAAGACTGAAGTACGATACATACAGTATAATGTAGTTTGTCCTTTCATTTAAATCAGGCTGCACAAAGTGAAGCCCCTTGAGTCATAAGGAATCTCTTTCCCTTTTCCTGTTGCTCAATTCATCTGCTGCCCATCAGAAACAGATTGCTGCTTATATAATATCTGAAAAATGCAAGGGAAGGTTCAGTGTTCTTTTGACAGTACAGGGTGTTTAGCACTGAACTTTGTCCTTCTCTTTTTAAGCTTTTTTTGGGCAAGCACTAAGTACCAGGACTTTAGACAGTGTGCCTGTACTTTCAATCAGAGGGCCCCAAGTAGTAAAAATCCCAAAACAGTGAAGATAATAGAAAATACAGATTGTAACAATACAGTTTATTTCCACTTTCCCTTTTAACATCAAAGTAATATAATAGATCATTTCAATTTTTTCTAGTCACACTGCAAATGCTGTACAAGTTAAAAACTTCAAAAATATTTGAAAAACGGAAGTTGCAAGGCAAGCCATCAGCAGATATGACAGAAGAGGATCCTTATGCAATCCAGTTAATGAACTGGTGTCCTGAAAGTAGAATATTTTGCATAGCAGGTGTCTCTGCATATGTTATTGTTTATAGATTCAGCAAACATGAAGTTAATACTGAAATATCGGTAAGTTTGTATGAGTGTTGCTTATACACTGATTTGCTTACATGAATATATCAAAATTTTCCCTTTAATCAATTATAGTTACCAATAAACATGGCTATGTTTACCATGCAGTTGTTACAGTTGAAAATAACACATTTGGATTTGCAGCTAGCTATTATGGCTTTCCTATATATTTTAAACATTCAAAGGAAGCTGTAATAAGCATACTTTTGAGGGTCACTTGCATGGGAAGAATGTCAGAACCTACTTTTTTGAACCAGCAGATTATTTTGATGTTACAAAAATGATATTTTTCAACTACAATCTGAGTCTGTTAAAACAAAGCATTTTATTGAATGCTCCCATTCTGGCAACAGTTTTTATTCTTCTGGATCTTTCTCTCGGAAGAACTGTGTAGTCCTTGGTGCTCTCTGAGCTTGGTGGTTTTCTTGTAGATGTTTCGTTATCAAAATAAGTAGCGTCATTACTGCTGGTGCCGGCATAGGAGGATATATGTGCAAGAAAACTACCAAGCTCAGAGAGCACTAAGGATCCCACAGTTCATCCCTCGAGCTTCAAATATTCTCTTCTATTGGTCTCAGAAGAACTTCTAACCATTTTTCCTCCTCAGAACCCATGCTTTTAAATCAAGAGAATTTGCAGTTTTGAATTTGTAGTTTATGAATTTTCTTTATTTCAATTACTTCTCAGTGGTCCTGTTGAGTTCCTCACAAACAGCTCCAGAAAAAGTTGGAGGTTTGACAGCCTATGCCTTTCTCCACAGGGAGACCCAGCAGTCCTTCAAATCAGCCCAAGTCCTAGCCTGCCATCTTGGTCCCAACATGTCTAAAGGAACTAAACAGGTTTTAGAGTCTAAGCCATTGAAAGGGGAAGGGATGCCTTGGGTATCATAGCTCACACTTTTAATGGTCTACTGAGACTTATTATTGAGTTAGAAAATTTATATAACCATGGACCAAAGAACCCTAAACTCAGAACCACTCGGTCTTCCCAGGGTTCAGTGTCAACCGGTTGCTCCCCATCCATCCCCTAACAGCCTCCAGGCACTGTCAGTGGGAGGCCACAGCATTGTTTAATTCACTACTTACATATGTTTGCAGAAAATTGCAAGTCTACGTTGCAGGTCTTCATTCCACATCATCATAAGATAGGTTAGGAAACAAATTCTGGGAAAGTATTTACTCTTCCTTAATGTCTAGGTTCCTATTAGTCATAAAAATCTCTATAAGGAGTTGGAATCACCTTCATGTTTAGATGAGACCATAAAAATATATTCTTTGTTTTCTGTTTTCAGGAATCTAGACCACAAAACTAATATGGTACAGTAAGAAGACACATTAGGATACCTTCTTCCTCTGCTTTGTTTTTCAATTCTGCTTTACAATTGACAGTCATAATTTTAATGGATTCCTTCATACTTAGCCTGGTTTGGGAAGTTTGCAGTTTCCTGGCATGTAGCTGAAATTCTGGAATACTGCGAAAGCAGATTGGCTTCACAATATTGAATCTCTTAACTATATTTCTAAATCTAATCTGAATTTTAATTTTTTTAAAAGTCCTTAGAAATACAGCTCCAGAGTGAGATAGAAGATACCATTAGTCCTGAAGCAGAAATTATGACTCCATTTGCCGATGCCTGTTCCGATTTTTCAACTTTAAAAGACCTCTCAGACAATTGCAATACTCCATCTGAGCGAACAATGGATTGTGGTCCATTTCTCAGGTAAAGAATGTAAACTGATTTAAATTGTTTTTTGTTCTCTGTTGTTTTTCAGCATTTCTAACAAAATTTCTTCAACATTTATATCTTTTCTGCTAAGATTGTAAAGTATCATGCATATTGATACCTCTGTATAAATAGTATCTCATGAATTATTTTCTGTTCTTGTACTAAGAAATTGTTACAGATAGTTCAAATAAGTGTAGTTGCTCACCATTGTACTATTTCTTTATTAAGAAAGACTGTAGAAATCATTCCTCTCATTTGAGATTGAACTCAGCACAGCTGATTTAGTAGCTACCAATAACCATGTACTGCAATAGATTCCTATCACATCTAGAATGGCACACCTCTCCATATTTGTTACAGCTATGTCCCTAAGCCTATTGTTTGAAGTTACTTCCTCATGAGGATCAAAGGTTCCCCTGAGAACTAATGTTATGTTGACAGTGAATATCAGAGTAGAAGGTGTTTGAATGCTGAATGTCCCAAAAGTAAAAGAATGCTTGAGTTGAGGGAGGAAAGAAGAATGGCAATCTGTGTTCTCCAAACCAATCTTACTCCATCAGTCCTACTTCCTCCTCCTAAGAAGACTTTGATGGTTTCTCACTTATGCTAGATTCTCACATACTGATGAAGCTCAGCTTCTCAATTTCTGAAGAAGAAATGCATGGCCCGTTACTCTGGACGGGAGCCCAAATTAGATTTCAGCACTGATGTTTTCCAGAATTGTAGAATTCATGACATTCTGATTGCCAAATTAGTTAGACATGGGTTAGATGATTATTATATTAATTTGTAGCTGGCATATAAACTGTGTAGTTATCAGTAGCACTGTTGGATACCATGGGGTTGGTTGTTGGCTAACCCCATGGTATCCAATATCCAAATATCCTTTGATGGCCATATAAATACAATGAACAAGATGGCCAAGAGGATGCTTATAAAATATTTAGTATATAAAATAAGGAGAATAACTAATCTTCAGAAAACAGAAACAAAATTTCCAAATAATTTGGATAGTTTAGAGAAATGAAATGAAGCTAACAAAATTGGGATAGCTCCAGAATGGGATAAGGCTAGAGACAGGAGACAATTTAGCATCCTCTCTTATAGTCACAGAATTTTGTCATGTTATATTTTTAGGCCCTGTATTAATAAAACATTACACTTTATAGCAACAAAAGACTATTATTCCTCCATTCCAATGACTGAATTTTATTGAGAAAACTGAATTTCTTTACCTGTATTTAGTGCCATGCAGTTAAGCCACCATGAGCAGCATTAAATAATTATTTTAATTTTTACCAAGTGAAGAGTGTCCTGCTCTTCAGTTCAACACCATGAAATGTCAGATGATGATAAAAAATAGGGAGATAGAAGAAGTTTAATCTTGCTTTGTTCCACAATGGAAGGGTGAGCTAGGTTTATTCCAATAGCTCTTTAACATTTCTAATCAGGGAGTTATGGTAAAATTGCATTCTTGCTTTGGATGAAAAAGCATCACAAAATTTTAATTACCTTTGCTTCAAGAATCAAAAAGACCTACTATTAGATATAACACTGATTTGTTTTTCAAATAAGATACTATTGGAAACAATTGGGATCATGCAAGCAGTTGAGAGGAAGAAAATGTCAATCAATACTATTTACACATTTATACACACTCAATGATTGTCACCTGCTCTTCTCCTTAGAAATTACACAGTAGTGTTTTGACTATATTTTCTTGCATTAATTTTTTTATCAGTGCAAGGGATTTCCAATTGGGTAATCAGATCATTTTGATAATTGTTTTGCCTCTTCTTCTTAGTGTGAAGACTCATGCTATAAGAATGCCCCCTGGTTATCAAGCAGAACTTGTTATTCAATTGATGTGTGTAGATGGTGAGCATCCTCAACAAATAACCAGCCTAGCAGTGAATTCAGCCTATGGATTGTAAGTTATCCCGTTATATCTTCATGTGGGTTGGGTCAGTCTGACTGGCTGGGAAGTGGGAAATCTGAGTCATCTTTAGCGTGGAGGTCTGTCTGGAACCAGTAATAGAACCTGTTCCAGTGTGAGGAAAGCAAATTATTTCTAATAGTTTATCTCCTTTTGATGGTTTGAGGAAAATGGCAGAAAAGATGGGACCAAGATGCAGATCCCTTATGTAAGATTCAAATGAAAGTACTACGAAAACAACCATTTGCAAAAAAATAGGCCATAAGAATCAAAGATAGCACATCCTCACGGATGTTCTTGCGTTTTTCATAAAACTCAAGCTGAAGCTGTCAAACCATAGAGGAAGAAATGTTAGCATTCTAAAAACTGTTACAGCTGAGTAGTTCAAATCAAGGCATGGATTTTCACTAATTTTTCCATTGGGGTCACCCATCATAAATTACTTTTACCCCATCAGGGATCAATACAAAATTTTCATAATCTCGAAATTGTTGGCATACCTATGAACAAAAAACAGGTATTTTGAGACACATATATTCATAAAATATGAATCCTTCGTCCTTCCATCACCCTCACCATCCTGCCCCCCCTCCTCCTCCTCCACAGGGGAAAAACAGTTCAGTTGCCTTTTGAAAAAAGCACCCTTGAGACAACTATGACATGGATTACTGAGAATCTCCACAGACATTCATAGACTATAGAATCATAAGGTTGGAAAGGATCTCACAAGTCTTCTAGGCCAGAGGTCCCGAATCCTTAGTCAGTGTCCTGGTATGAGGCCGGGGTCCATTGGGAACCGGGCCACCCAAGTGGCAGTTGAGCAAGCGTGCAAAGCTCCATTTGTGCAAGCAGCGGGTACACATCTAAAACCATTCCCTCTCCCTGCCTGCTGCTGCTACTGCCAGTCCGCAGAGTTGGAAAAATTAGGGACCAGTGTTCTAGTCCAGGGGTGTCAGACTCAATTTCATTGAGGGCTGCATCAGGCTTGTGGTTGACCTGGGGGGGAAGTGGCTGGAGTGGGCGTGGCCAGCTCGAGATTGCTCGTGGCCAGGGACGCCTCTGGCAGCCTGGATGGGGCTGGGGGATCCATTGTCTCAGTGAGCACGCAAGGGCTGATGCAGACCTCCGTGAGTACTCTCTTCCTCCTATGTGCATGCTTAAGTGGGCAGGACCAAGATGGTGCCACAGATCTAAGGCTGGTTGTGGTCCAGCCCCGCTTTAATTTACACTTAATGCCCCTACTTTTTTGGGTTGCAGTGGTGAATAGGGATGCTTACCTCTAGGGCATAATATTGAGGTGGGTGGTGCTATGGAGTTCCCATATTGCTGGATTTTTCTTCCCCAAACTCCCTCTGAATTGCCACTATTAGACATCATTGTGACATTTCTGTATTAGGCCCAAGTAATTTCCATCTTCTCTTAGCTATGGTGCAGAAGACGATAAATAGGTTCTCATATACGTAAATGTGGAGGAATCAGGAAGATTCATTGTTCCTGAAAAACAGAAATTATCTTTCCTTACTTTATGCCAGATGTTGCCCACTATTCCAAGGAGTCCATTTGAGATTGACTCATATAAACTCATGTGGCTGGAGCATCCAATATTTTATCTTTTTCCAAATTAACCTGTTTTTACCATCTGGTTACGACAAAATGTCTTTTTTTTTGTGGCATTTAGATTGCTCTTGATGTGCTCTTAAAGTGTACAATGTTTTCCTTCATGAACCAGCAACTGTCTTTATTTCTTTCTGGTTGTACAGAAAGCAGACCTGAAGGGTGGCCTATAAAACCTTAAGTATGTGTACCTCCTATCAAGAAGAGATTGGTAACTGCCCGAATAACCTGCTTGGAAAGACATTTTAAACTTCCAACTTTCCTCCAGTAATGAAAAGATATAACCCAAAGAAACATGGACTTCTTCTTTGGTTTATTTTGGGAATTTTAGAACCGAATGTGCAAGAGGGAAGTCTTTCAGAGCCAAATTGTTCTCATTCCAATCCTTATAAGGATATTTACAAAAAAAGTGACCATATCTGCTAATGCCAAAATTTGATCATATCACTGACAAATGTCAGTGGCCTGGTCTCAGAGCATTAAATATTACATTCTAGAACTATATGACACCTGTGGGCTATGCGTCATCCACCCACGACTTAAGCCAGCTCTTCTTGACAAGCAGGGCTCCCTTTTCAGTGTCTGTCATGAAAGCAAAGGTGAATGACCTATCATCTGATCTGGTTCTTAAAATGAGCTATATTTAATTCATTTGATTTAGATGCTATTTGACTCCAAATTTCTCTGAGGCTTATAGTATAAGAACAATAAAATATAATGTGCATGATAAAAAACAATCAATGAAGAAAAATAAAAATTAAGGATTATCTTATATGTGTCAAGGTTCCAAGTAATACCCCCAACAAAGGAAGATTCCGAAGCTAGGCATTCCTCAAAATTCCATTTTATTAGAGATGTAATATTGGCACATCTGGGAAAACCGCACCACGGTTCGCCCACATAACACCGATCCTCCGTGAGCTGCGCTGGCTACCTGTTGATCTCCGGGTGCACTTCAAGGTCCTTCTTACCATCTATAAAGCGCTCCATGGTAGTGGATCTGGCTATTTGAGAGACCGCCTTCTGCCGATTACCTCCCTCCGTCCCATCAGATCACATAGAGTAGGCCTCCTCCGAATTCCATCCGCCAGTCAGTGTCGACTGGCGACTACGCGGAGG